AATTATTTTAATTAATTATACTAATAATTTTAATGATTTAAGAATTTATACTATTAGTATAAATATATGCCGCATTGTGACATTCACCACAATCCAAGCGCATTTAAATGGCTGTGGCCTGAAATCTTTTGTAGTATCTAATTAGAGAATATATTATATAATATCTGGGTAAGTTAAATAGGATTTTTTAGGCTGCTGCTTTGAGAATATTTTGTTAGAGATTAATTAAATGGTTTTTCTTAATGAGTAGCGTTAGTAAACATGGACAACCATTTTTGTTAGTCTAATAACATTCAAAAGCTCTCTGAGAGTTTTAAGTTCTTATTTGTTTATCTATATTATATTTTCTCTAAGCTGAATGATTAAATCAAAGTAACCGTTCTGAAAAGTCAGCAGTAAATTCCAATTTTCCAAATCAATCACACATTTCTACACACAAATTAATAAAATTAAATCCAGTTTCCGTTAACCACTGTTAATTTACCAAAATATAGACAGCGCTCATATTGTCAAAGTGCCCTTCTGCACTTGTATAATTTTGTAATATAGTACACAATGTCTATTATAATATATGTCTGTTGCCTTGAACAGTATAATAGAATATAGGTGAAAGTAGTACAAAAAAGGCAGAAACCAACCCGCAAAAGTTAACTTGCTATGAAATAATTTTAAGAGTTACTGTAATATTAAGTTTTCCACTGATTTTGTAATAGAACATTTAACATGACACGATACAGAAATAAATAAATTTTAAAATTAGAAAATAAATTGCACATACTTCATTTTGAAAACTTCCCTTTAACATGTTGTGTGAAATACAATTTAAATATTAACAGCGGTTTTATTAAAAAGTAGTGTACAATTGTCCATATGGTCATAATGTAAACAAATCTGGGAAGGGAACTTTAAAGGCCTCTGGGGCAGAGCCCCAAGGGAATTCACCTCGTTTTTATTTTGATTGCTTATCTACAGATTAGGACCTTTCTTTAGACGATCCTACCGTGTATCTATGCCCAGCCGTTCTATCAAATTAGTAGAGACAAAAACCCAGTTTTTCCTCCATAAGAATAACATGGAAATGGAATTTTAAAGACCACTAGGGTAGAGCCCTAAGGGAATTCCCCATTATATTTTGATTGCTCATCTACATACTTTTTTTAGACACCTCTAAAGTGCGGGTTTCTACGCCTAGCCGATCTCTGAAAATTAGTGGAGACAAACCACCCGTTTTTTTCCTCCATAAGAATAACATGAGAATACAATGCCACTGGGGCAGAGCTCCTAGGGAATTTGCCTAGTTTCTCTTTTGATGGTTTATTATGAGAACAGCAAACCAGCTGATCTAATATATTACAATTATAAAAACCAATTTTTGTTTACATTACTTTGTTTTCTTGAAAACCATACCAAATTTGAGTATGTAGATGTCCAATGGTAAAAATCCATTAGTCACAACGTTGATTGATAGTCCCATAGGAAATTTTTAGGCTCAGTTTATAGATATAATTTAAAACCTCAATATAACCAGGGATTGCTTTAAACAAGTTTAAAAGACTCATTTATATCTCTTCATACCTCTTCATATTATATAAAACATTTTATATACGGTAATACACTATCAAGAGTTGTCACAATTACCCAAAAACTTAGAGTCGATTCTGTTCAATAACATTCTTTTTGCGTAAATTGGAACATACCTTTTTACAGTAGTTTTTTTAAATGTGTTTAGGTGGTTTGCTCTTATTTTTCACATTTAGTTAATATTTTTAAATTTTTGTTTGTATTACAATAGTCGTGAACACATTATGTATAGTTTCATCTAGCTATATTTTAATCTAAATTCCTAATTAGTTGGATATGTCTTACATTTTTATAATTTGGAGTTGTACAGTTTTTTTTGGAAATCACGATAATATTTTCCTACTTATGGCAAACTGTTCTACAACAGAAACATACAATACTCGCTAGGGACAAGAACATGATATAGCAGTGCTGTAAGGTCGAGGTTTTGTTGGACAGATTGCTTCCTTATCTCCCCTTCACTTGTGGATCTCTATACATTGTAACATTGAAGTAGGCCTAACAACTTCCAGCGGGGTCTTAGTAGGGTATAATAAACAATGATGATATGATTTTCAAGGAATCACAACTTTAAAGAAAAATTGAAGTAGATGATATGTGTTTTTAATTTTAAAATACATCCGAGTAGATTTTCCTTTTACTATCTTACATATCTGCATTAAGCTATCGTAAGCAAAATGTTAACTTTCATTCGTAGCCCAATCTTTATGTTCCTTAGTACCTGAAATTTAAATTTACACATTTATCATTGATCGTTGAAACAAAAAACCTGTTTTTAAACCCACCACTGGTGAGAGAAAACAAAACAAATTACACATTTATCATTAAATTTAGAAAACAGCCACTTTTCCGTAGATTTGTAAAATTCTCTTTGGTTTGATTTTCTCTTTATTTTGCTCTCTAGAGATCCATAGATGTTTTAGACCGGCCCTTTCCTGACATTCGGGGTAGCAGCTTATAGATGGGTGTTTTGATCGCTGGAGCCTTAGACAGACATCCCTTAATTTAGTATGATACTTCTGCTGATGAAATACTGTAAGTGCCTGTTCAAAGTTCTCACAGATATGGTATCAGGTATTAAAACTCTTTCTCATACAAAACATGCAAGAGTTCACTAACAATGACAATGATACTGGGTAAACTTACTGACGAAAGGTGAAGAAAAGATTCCCAGGAATGCGCAACAAATAATTGAGCTACAGAGGAAATTCCGTAACTTAGCCAACTCAATGGAAGAACTTATTTCATCTTTGTTTCATTTAAGTAAGCTATTCAAAAGATATATGGTATAACCCCTTTCAGTCACGTATAGAAGAAAAGCTAAAAAAAATCCCTTGTTTTATTAGAGTAAAAAGATCGACAAAAGAGACTTTCACAGAAAATCTTGGAAATCAGATACAACAAATCAACGAAACATAATCACTCCACGTGCAAACAGAATATGAAATTCAGAATTATGAAATTTGTGTAATTGGGTTGTGTATGATGATCTTAGTAATAGGGATGAACCTCAGAAAATAACCTACCCTCTTACACAATCACTGTACAGGACACGAATTAAACATGTCAACATATTTATTAGCATAGCTGGCAAAAGGCCTCATGAAATTAAAAATTTGGAAAATATTGGTGAAGCTTTTATTTCAAATTTATATTCATTCCAATATTACCAGTTCTTCTTGAAGATATGTTTCCACGTTTTTAAGAAACATCCAAGGACATAAAACAAACACGACTCCTGAAAAGCTTTGAGGATGCTTGACTTTCATTGAGTTTTTCTTTTAATAAAATCCCAAAACGTTTCTTTTATTAAACGGGAAACACGTTGCCACTGTCATTTGAGATGAAAACTTAACCCTCTCTGCAATGTTACTTTAATGCTAATTTTATTTATGTACTAATAAAACAGTAAACTTTACTTGTGATAGATTTTTAAAAATGAAATGATTTTTTCTTAAAATCATCTTACATATAATAGTAAACTGAGGATTCTTTAAACTATTTATTTAAGTTTAATCGATCACGACTTTGTTCAGAATTTTACACAATATGTCCCCAAACATCAACAATTCAAATCGAATCTGGATGTAGCAGATGTGCATTTGCAAGAAACCCCGTAGTGTTTTTGAATAACATAATAACAAGAAGTGTCGGTAAATCTGAAATAGATTTATCAATGCTTTTTTGATGACTTTTTAAAATACAGTTTTTGGGATCATGTAATTAATACCTCTGAAAAAAAACTTCATGGAAAGTTCTCCTATCAGTTTGTATCATTACAAAAACCGTAATGTTTATTTTATATGTGACCTGTGAGTAGCCTGAAATGTTGAGGTCAAACAAATATGTTAACTGTTAAAGTCAATTATTATGACTTAATTTTTTAATAGACATTTTGTCGATAAGATAGTTAGGGTGGATTAGCAACTGTTCTATCGCTACAATACTAGTTTTTTTTTCAGCAGTATTAATTACATGATCCCAAAAACTGCATTTAATAAAGTTATCAAAAAGCATTAATAAATCGATTTCAGATTTACCAACACTTCTTGTTATTATTTTATTCAAAAACACTACGGGGTTTCTTGCAAATGCACATCTGCTACATCCAGATTCGATTTGAATTGTTGATGTTTGGGGACATATGGTGTAAAATTCTGAACAAAGCATTGTATTTTGTGTGTGAAGTCTTAGGTTTAGTAAGTATAGTAACAAGATTGGCAGTTGACAAGGTTTGAGTCACTCAAACCTTGTGAGACAATTCGACAAGTATTGAATTGTCTCACAAACTAATAAAGCATAAAAGGTCTGAACTAGAAAAATACAATTACAGCCAGCCTTCTTTATGAGGGGAAACAAACTTCCCTTTTGAAAATGTCATGTACTATTGCACTGCTTAAGTTACTAAGTTTATTTGGACTCATAAAACGTGGTAAACAGTACAAACACATGATAACGTTTCTAAAGACTTTGCAAGAAGAGTTCACTTATGATAGTGAGCAACTGCAAGGTTTAGCTTTCTCCAGTTTAAGTAAGTAAATTTAGCATACTGTATGAGTGTACAATTCCCCCAAATTTTAAATTGTATACTTAATTGCCAGTGGATAAACAATGTTTTTTTTCATTAGGTGTAGAAATATATAAGTTTTTAGGCGTACCTACCACCATTGTGGGTATAGAACAAAAGATAAAAATATTAACGCATTGCCATCCCATTTATTGTTTTTAATACTGTTGATTCCACTAATTTTAGTAATAAAAGTTCACATTTTGTATAAGAAAATAGAAGGTAAGTTTTTATTAAACCACAATCTGTAAGTAAACACAACAATTCAATAAGTAAACAAAATAATAATTTGAACACATGTTAGAAATAAAATGTAAATACAACATATGCTAACACCTCCTCCTCTATTTACTGTGCTGCGGCACTTTACGAAGAATCAGCTGGTCAACATGTCTTCTTATTATTCGTCCATCTTCCAGCTGAACTACGTACATTACATGTCCTTGCTTTTGAGTTATATAGCCCGAATACCACTTGGACGAACCATTGACATATTCCCGCGCTTGCACTTTATCTCCAACTTTGAAATTCCTTTTTATACCGACTTGGACTCCCTTCTTCTGATATTTGTTCGGTTCTAATGTTGGAACAATTATTGCTAGGTTTGTTCGTACACTCCTTCCAAACATTAGGTGATATGCTGATGTACCTGTTGAATTCGGGGATTGCCTGAGTTGCATTAGAAGTCTTTGGATTTTATTTTGCAGTGTACCCTTTTCTCCCTCCATGGATTTTAACGCCTTCTTGACAGTCTGCACGTACCTTTCAGCCTGGCCATTTGAGTTTGGATGGTATGGTGCCGTTGTTCTGTGAATAATCCCACATTCATTCATGAAGTTTTTGAACTCTTGAGAAACAAACTGTCTTCCATTATCTGAAACTAGGATGTGAGGAAACCCAAAAGTTGAGAAGATTTTCCGTAATTCTTGGACTGTCCATGTACTTGTAGTTGTTTTCGTCTGTATCACATCCACCCACTTACTAAAGGCATCCACTAATATCAGGTACTGTTGGCCATCTGTTGGTCCTAAGAAATCAATGTGCACCCTCTCCCATGGATTAGAAGGTTGTTCCCATGGATGGATAGTTTTCCTCGGGTTGTTGCATTTTTCAATGCATTGTCGACATTCAGTTACCATATCTTCAATATCCTTGTCTATACTTTTCCACCAGCAAAAACTGCGAGCTAAAGCCTTCATTTTTATTCCTCCTAAATGAGCTACATGTAGTTCTCGAAGCACATGAGGTCTGAGAGATTGAGGTATCATGACTCTCCAGCCCTTCAGTACACAATCATCTTGAATGGACAGCTCGTTATCATGAAATCCGTATTGTTCAACAGATTGTCCTGATTTCAAGGCCTGTAGGACTGGACCCAAAACAGCATCGTTGAGAGTTTCCTTAGCCACCACGGTACTGTTGATATTGAGTGTTTCCAGTTGATTTATGTGGTACTTCGAGAGGTCATCTACAGAATGTTCTTGTACAACTTCGATAGGGAATCGAGAGAGATAATCTGCATTGCAATGATGAGCAGTTTGCCTGTACTCTATGTCATAGTCGAACCCGGAGAGAAAGTGAGCATAGTTGAATATCCGTGTTGCCGAGATTGTTGGTAAGGTCTTTGCTGGATTAAAAATTGACACCAGCGGTTTGTGATCAGATCAAAGTAAATTTGCGGCCATAACAAAACGGGAAAAACTTTTTCAGGCCCCAATATATTCCCAAGGCTTCCTTATCGATCTGAGAGTATTTTTGTTCTGATTTTGATAAAGATCGAGAGGCGAAGGCAATTGGCCTGTCTGTTCCATCCCTATAGCGGTGCGAAAGAACGGCTCCTACACCTACCGGCGAAGCATCAGTAGCTAAGACCAGTGGCAAGCTAGGATCAAAGTGTACCAACACGTCATCACTTGTAATAATTTCTTTAATCTTCAGAAAACTCTGTTCACAAGCAGAGCTCCATGTAAAAGTGTTTCCTTTTCGTAGCAGCCAATTCAAAGGATGTAGCAGTGTAGCCAAATTCTTTATGAATTTGTTGTAATAATTCGCAAGGCCTAGGAAAGTTCGGAGTTCAGTTACGTTCTCTGGTCTTTTACATTTTAAAATGCTCTGCATTTTAGCATCTGACTTGTGTAGTCCTTTGCTATCAATCACATGACCTAAGTACTCAATTTTGTTCTGGAAAAACTTACACTTCTCTCTATTTAACCTCAAATCATTTAACTTCAATCGTTCAAACACCTGTTCCAGTCGACGAAGAAGCTGTTCCCTGTTAGATCCTTGGACAATTACGTCGTCAAAGAAAAATTGTACGCCTTCTAAGTTATGTAATGTTTTGTCCATGAATCTTTGCCATAACAAGGGTGCCACTTTTACTCCAAACATTAATCTGTTCACTTTAAACAGCCCTTTGTGAGTACTGATTGTTTGCATGATGGCACTGTCTTCGTCCATCTCCATGTGCAAGTATGCGTTACTGATATCAAGAGTACAAAATATCTTTCCACAATGCATCTTTGACATGATATCATCAATCCGAGGTATAGGGTAATGTTCGTCTTTAATAACTTTGTTCAAAGTCACCTTGTAGTCAGCACATATTCTGACTGAACCATTGGGTTTGACAACCGGCACAATGGGTGTGCCCCAATCGGATGATTCGACACGTGTGATTATACCCAAAGTCTCCAGTCTTTCAAGTTCCTTCTCTACTTTTTCTTTTAATGCATATGGCATGTGTCTAGGTTTGATGTACATTGGCTGGGTTTCGTCTTTTACATTAAAATGACCCTTTTCTTTTGGTATTTTCCCAATGCCTTCTTTCAAAATGTCTTCGTATCGAATCATCAAATCATCTAGTTCTTGGATGTTTTCGTTTTCACTTGAATTTAATGAATGTATGTCAGCTGCATCAAGTTGAATCTCTCTTATCCATTCTCTTCCGAATATAGAGTCTACACACTTGTTAACAATGTACAGTTTTCCAACAAAACTTTGATCTTTATACTGAACATTTACAAAAACAACTCCTCTTGGATTGATTATTTCCCCAGTGTATGTCTTGAGTTGAACATTTGTCTTGAAAATCCTTTTTGGAGAGTTTAAAAGCTTAAATGTATCATAGGATACAATGCTGAGAGCCGCTCCTGTATCTAACTCCATTGTCATGAGTCGTCCTTCCACTTTTACCTCGAGCATAAACTTGTCATTTGATTTTGAATGAAGTTGGTAAATTTCATGAGTGTCATCATCGCTTGTATTTTCTGCGGTTTCATCTGATTGTTTTACTTCTTTGTTTGGTTTTCTTAGACATACTCTTGCTAAGTGACCAAAACGTTTACAAGAGTTACATTCTGCATTTTTGAACTTGCATTGATGTGCTCTATGTGAATCATCACCACATCTATAGCATTTGTTTCTCAGTATCTCCAAACGAGTTTGATACTCAGAGAGTTGTATATTGTTAGATTTACAAGGTTTCCTATCTGGCTGTTTGTTCTTGCTTGATACTTGGTGTACTTCCTCTTGATTTTCATTTGTCTTTACTATTCTGCTCTCACTTTTCGCTAGTTCCAATGTAGCAGACTTTTCGACTACTTCTTTAAACGGTTGCAATAGTTTATCTTGAAGAAGTTGAAGACGTATATCAGAGTCTTTTAATCCCCTGACAAACTGCATTCGAAGTAGAATTTCAGATACAGATTCATTACAACTTGTACAAGTAAACTGACATTCTACACTGAGCTTTCTAAGAGCATTAGCGTAAGCTTGTACAGATTCATTACACAATTGGGTACGTGTCGTAAATTTGTGCTGACGTGCCCAAATACTGGGTTTTGGTTCTAGTTGAGCCATTAACATGTGAATCAATTCCTCATATGGCTTGTTGTGTGGGTCATCTGGTATGCAAAGATCGTATAGCTGTTCATGTATTTGTGGGGTGATTGCCTGTAAAAATAAATCCACTTTGACTCTTGGACTTAAGTTTCCCCGTAATTTTGTGTAGTTTTCAAAGCGTCGAGTGAAGTTTTGAAAACTTTCCTCTGGTGTATACGGCTGGAAAGGAATATTAGATACATTTTGACATGTTGCAGAAGCAGAAATTGCTGTATGTGTATCGTACTTTTTCTTTTCTGCTTCAAGGAATGTCCGTATCTCTCTAAATATTTCTTCTAACTGCCATCGAATTTCTAATTCACTTTCTACTGAATTTGTGTGAAGTTCAATATTTGACTGTGTAACCTCAATTTCAGCCCATATTGCTAAAAGTTTATCTGTGTAGTAAGTGCATGTATCTTGAGAATGTTCACATGTTGGTAAATCATCCTTGAGTTTGATCAAGCGTAGTTCTAGTAATTTCCTTTTCTTTAGACATAAGTCAAATTCTTTTCTACTTACCATTTTACTCGTCGCCATTATTGATTCCACTAATTTTAGTAATAAAAGTTCACATTTTGTATAAGAAAATAGAAGGTAAGTTTTTATTAAACCACAATCTGTAAGTAAACATAACAATTCAATAAGTAAACAAAATAATAATTTGAACACATGTTAGAAATAAAATGTAAATACAACATATGCTAACAAATACTTTAATAAAGGTTTTTATGTTTACATATTTAATATTAGAGAATTTAAACGTCGTTGAGTGCACAGGTATGCTGCGATTGGGGTTTAATATATTTGGACTTATTTATTCAAAAGTAAAATATTTTTCTGTGCTGTACTCTGTGGAACTATTGTGGCACTATTTCAAATCATGACTAACACAGCATGTTGTGATTATTACAACCTACAAAACAGTTGCCGGGTAACAGCTAGTTATATTTATTTGTAAACATTGTAGTTCAAAAAGTCTGACATTGGCCCACTTAAAACCCTCTGGGGCGGAGCCCTTTTGACGGATCTGCACCAAACTTCACACAAATCATCCTTTAAAGATGCTTAATAATGCCTGAAAGTTTCATTAAAATCTGGCAACCGGTTTCGGAGTCCATAACGTACATACATATATACATAGTTCCTCTTTTATAGATATAGATGAAAGTCTGATTATGTGAATAAACATAAATTAATATTGTTTTTATTTCTTTTTTAGACACCATGACATCATTTGCTAAGACCTCGGTAGTTTTTCTTCTATTCTTTGGATGGTGTTGGGCTCTTTATATTAATCAAGAATCAGAATTAGAAGTGGATGATAGAGGAGAGGACGACTCCGATTTTATCTTTGATGAAAAGGATGTTGAAGAGATTAAAACCGGTAGCAAGCGTGAATCTAACCAAGTGAACTGTAAATGTAGTAAAGTTAAATGTAGTATGCGACTTGGATGATTGTAAAGTAAACAACACTTGCAACTCTTAATATGTTTATGAAACAAAAATATAATTTGTTTAGTACAATTTAATTTTTAATTCGTTTTGTTAATATAGTTTAGCTTTTTTCAGTTCTAGCTCTAGCTCTCAGTCAGTTTTGGGTAAAAAATTATTATATTTGATCGCTATGATGATTATCTAATGACTCAGATTTTTAATGCTGAAAATTATTTGCAAAAGGGCATGAAAAATATGTGCTTCAACTGTCACTTTACTGCCAAATAATCGACCCCTCGTGGTCTTTACTAAAATGCGTTTTAAGAGAATGCTTTTAGGTAGATCATTACAAGATCCTCAGTCCTGACTGTTACGTTGAATTCAAGCCATTTCATGATAAGTAGGCTAATAGTAAGGCTTTTTGAATGAGAGGTTGAGCTTTAAAAGGTAAGATATAATTTTAGAAGAGAAAAACTTTGATATATTAGATGTCTGAGGTCACACATATACATATATCGGGTGATCAACTCAAGGAGGCCACTCCACCATTGGGATATCGGAAACGGTAAGAATTAGAGAACACTTTAAATGGGGGACATTCCTTTATTTTTGTGGAAGTTAAAAATATGAATTTAGCTATTTGAAATTCAGCCGCCATTTTCCAAGATGGTGGCCAACTTTGAAATTTATATTTTATAATGTTTCCATATAGAACATGCAAAACTTTTTTATTCCTGCCATTTTTCCATAAACCCACTCGTTTAGGAGTTACAGATTATGAAAAAATCACTTCCCGATGTACATTTTGCATCATGTAGCTCCTAAACGAGTAGGTTTATAGCGAAACTGGGAAGAGTAAATTTGCAAATTGGAAGTCTTCAAATTGCATCCAGATTCCCAAAAGACCATAAAATACGGACAAAATATAGATTTATTATTTCAAAAATGGCGGCCATTTTCCAAAATTGCAGCAAACTTGAAAAGTGGAAAACTGTGTATTTTATGGTCTTTTTGGAATGTGGATGCAATTTTAAGACTAATAAAATAAAAATAAACATAAAACAAATATGGTTGGGGGAAGTTTTTTATTGAACTGATAACTCCTACCGAGCCGCAAGCACTAAGTGCATAATTTAGGGTAGAGTGGACATATATTCTAAAAATATAGCCAATACATTAACTTAATAATACTTACCAATATTACTGAAAACGTTAAATGACTTTTAAATGAATCTATGGCATTGCATTTTGTTGATTTTCTAATCCTCGGGAATCATTGAGTTTACATTTAGGAAGACTTGTAAACAGAATATGGGGTTTTATTCATATCCCGTTACACTTTAAATTAGTCAGTTCCAGTGAAATCTGCCATGTGACGCAAACAATTTGGTTCCCAGGCTGCACATATGACACAGTAAACGGTCAATAATTAGAATATTAATGTGTTCAATGTTCTACTATAGAATCTGAACGGCTATTCAATAGTATTGGTTCATAGTGAAATGGTATTAATTAAATGCTATATCTTTGTACGTTTAGAAATAAAGTGCTATTGCTCAAAAAACTTTCTTTATAAATGTGTTGTATATTGTTGTTTTATTTATTTACTATCTTTAGCTGTTGATAAAAATATAAGAGCTGTTGATATGGGGTGGGTATATTAAACTTCAAACAACACAAATTTAAAACTCAAGTAAGATGCAAGTATCCGCTTGTGGTTTCATTAACAAACTATGAATCAAACAGTCACTGTATCACAAAAACTAAGTTACTAACGGCCAGGTCTATTAGCAGAGACTGAATGCGGTAATGTTTATTAGTAATCACAATCGCCATGTTATCCTTGCATGTTTGCAATAGGATTACAAGTGGGGCAGTAATATGCCCCTTAGAAAACTACTTTATCTAATTTAGAAGCCATCTCACTGTTTAGAAGTTTATCTAAAAAAAAATTGGAAGAAATGTAAATATGCATAATAAGCTAGGCTTTTAATAGATTTTTTCATACCGTGATATTTATTTTAACAAGTTTAATCTCTTTGACTGCCAAACTATTGACAAGATATTGTAATTATGATGAACAATTTTTATGCTTTGAAAGTCGATGAAGGTCATGATAGTACTATAAATGTGATTCAGTTGTGTTACGGAGAATTTAAGTGACCTTTGTGGACTTGGTTGATGGGTGATAGTAACATTTATAATGAAAATAGCTCCACCAATCAGAGATTTTTATGTAAATCATGCCACTTCAAACAAAAAAAACAGAAGCTAATAGTCACATTATATTAATAAGAACGCAATGTCTGCTAGCAAGCTTTCTTCACGTACCGGTAAACTGTCCACAGCTTTGAATTGAAACCAGGATTATAAACTAGACTCTCTGTCTTAACACTTTAAGCCCTAAGGCCATTTTTTTATATATATTTCTGTTAAAATTTGTTTAAGGTTATGTGTTTTTAATGTATTTAATATTATATTTTCTAATAAGATTTGTCCATATTTATCTAAAATAAAGCAAAAAAGACCAATCCGTGTCCTTTTTACCTATACTAATGTAAAATGGGGCAAAACAGATGGTGTGTGTGTGTGTTATACCAGCTGATCAGCAACGAGTGCTGGTGAGGGACTAACCTCTTACCTCAAATAAAAATGGACAGTTGGGAAAATTGGGAAACAAATGGGAAATGTTACCTACCTTGTTAGAGCAGAAGGCGGATGTGTATCGGTCAACTTGTGCTTTAAATAAAATAAAATGGAGTCTTCATTGGTAAAACTACACATAACAATTGCTCACTGAATCTTGAACAGAGTTTAACCAACTGCTACTTACATGAGAATAAGCTTTTAGTTCCCAAAGTGCATAATGTTCATTAATATGTAAATTAACTTTCAGAGCATGTTACAGTGTTGGGCGTGTGAATTTGAAAACCAAAACCTAAGTAGTTTATTTAAGAAACATCCAAAATCCTTTGAAGTCATTACGGCATTTTGAAATCCCTAAAATTCAAACTAAGTTAAGATTCCTTTTGATAGAAGCTTTAATTGCCAATAAGAATTTGTAAATACAAGTAAATAGTTGATTTTAGGATATTGTTGCAAAGTTTAAACAATATTTCTGTTTCTGGAATCTCTAAGTTTTAGCTCGGTGCGATCAAAGTTCAAGTTGACTAATTGAGCAAGTTCCTTGAAGTTTTCTCAAATGTTAATTGCTTTTACTGATCACCGTTTGAAATGTTCCCGGCTAATTACTTGGAAATGTACGTTGAATTTTGTAATATTTTCCCAATAGTTGGTTTTACCAATATATCAAGAAAATAATATTGAGATTGGACCTTCTATTAAATTATGATCATGATTCGCTT